AAATGTCACGAAGAGATCTTAAAATTACTGATTTTCAGTTAAAATTTGCCCGAAAGTTCTCTCTCCGAATGGAGCATAAGAATCTATGTGCTAAAATGCTAACTATTCACTAAATCTGTTCTTGATTACTTACATAACCTAGAAAAAAGATTATTACGTTTGTTTTTACGCTTTTTTCTGCATGAAAATCGAAGGAAATTCAAAGAATCTGGATGACTTCTTCGTTGTGTACTGTATTTTCTTTTCTATTGGCTATTTTAGTTGATGTCTTAAGCAAAAGTCAAACAATAGCCGATCAAGAATTCTTATTAAGATCCCATAAAATCTGTCTCTTTTCCACTTTATGCAGCGCTTCGAGCCCCTCGACTGTGGAAACTCTGAAACTTGCAATTCGTCTCTGCCTCTTGAAAAGTTGCACACGTTCCCAAGTGGCGGCGCACGAGGGGCGGCGGCGGCGGCGTGTATGATGAAATTAAGATTAGTGACGATAACACTTTAGACTGTGTTCTGTGCCTCCTGGCCAGAGTAGTCGTTGTGTGTTAAGAGCTCATTAAACAAGGCCCCAAAACTCATGGCAGAAGCTTCGCTTGGGGCGGATTTGCGAGCTTTGAGGGCTTTTCCAGCCATTTGAGAATTTCCATGGCTGAGCGTCAAATTAATAAGCATCGCCAGGATAGATTTTAGGTCGAAGGGTTCGAGGCAATTTTCAGGAATCTCTCTCTCTCGCCATTTCCAATTGATTACGCCTTGTCTATCCTCTGGGATACTCGAAAACTCCGCATTGTTGGCGAGAATCTGAGTCGGGATTTCGGGCAGGTCAGTTTTAATAACGCCTCTTGTGCCCGAAACACAATAAGCCATTTATTCAAATGCTGATGGTTGAGAAAGTTTCTGGGGGTGAGCTTAAAGCTCCAAGAAGTTTCTCTAGTGCGGTGGAAAATCCAACGCGGTGAGCATTAAAAGACGTGATTCTACGATTATGTGCAGTGTCGTAAAAATTTACAGCGATCCCTGACTCATGAAATGGGCGGCGGGAGTTCCTATAAAGGACACTCCGAAGCTCCGCAGCGTGAGACAGATTTTATTGCTGTGTATTGGGGAAAGTCGGGAGTGGAATTCTCTCAAGTATTTAGTGTTGACGTTAGTGAGAATTCCCCAACAATGCCAAAGTGAAGAGACACAGAATGCAATTGGAGACAGTAAAGTGGCACTTTTTGCTCCTTGGACGTCTGGCGAGACAGAAAGCTTGGAGATTCTGCACGGAATTCATCTCGAGATGCTTTCTAATCGCACGCAAAAGCGGAAGTTAATTAAAAATAATGACAAGAAATATATTTTGACGGAGTTTTTCTGTCTTTTGACGAGTCATAAATTCAAAAATTGATCGATATTTAATTAATTTTCCATTGAACAATGACAGAAAACACGAATAATTGCTCTTTGGCTTTGTTTCATTCATCACATTTTACTCGTTTTCGATCATTTTTCAATTTTTACTAACCAATCTACAGATTATTACCGATGAAATAACAATTTTAACTTCATTAATTGTATTTTTTCGACAAAATGGAAATTTTTACGTTTTATTTCATTCCATCTATTACATGGAATTTACAGCGGTGAGTGATTGAAGCGATAAATGTGAGATCAAGATCGCAGCTGGGTCAAGACAAGACACGTGGCGCCGTGAAATATCATACGAAACTTTGAGAATTCTACTCATTGAAGTCGATTTATTCAGTATTTTGTTCCCATTTCACTTTACATCTCTGGCTGATGATTGAAATGTTGCCCAAATGATGAGAGTAAGTTATGAACTATAATTGAAATATCAAAGCTCCTCGTTTGTGTTGTCCTTAATTAATTCATTAAATTTTTTCCCCCTAATTGAATAAGTTTTCCCCATTAAATTGTAATTTAGGCAAACACACAGGGCGGCAAACTTTCGCCATCTCTCGAGTCAGCCACTTGAGATTGTGTCTCACCAAGTTCCGGCCAGCAAACAAAAGGTAGCCCACAGTATCTCGCCTGATACAGAAATAAATTATCTCAACTGTGTATCCTCTCGTTGGGGCGTCGAAAAGCGCGCCATGGCTATAGTTTATCACGAAAAACTTGTGTTATGTTCTGTCGCCTGAAATAAAAGTTTGCCCTCGAAACTTGCCACTTAACTCTTCAACTCTCGGCCTTCACTCTCTGTGCTGCTGCTGGGAAAGTTTCCGCCAAAGTTGCCCAGGTAAGGACGAGAGTCCGTCCTGTGAGAGTTGTGAGCGCGTTCGGGCGCGATTTAATTATGATAATCATGCTGAGCGACTTCCGTCCAGGGGAGATTATTATAAATCAACCAGCGAGTGAAACTTTACCTTCGTCTTTCATAAACACACACGCCAAATGGAAAAATGGAAATACTTTCTGTTCTTAAGTCTGTTGTGGACAAAGAAATGTCTTCCCTTCTGCCCATTCAGGCGCCCCTTCGAGTGCAAATGAAGAGTCCCAACATTTGTGTGCATCTTGAGTGTTTTGGAAAGTGCAAAAGTTCCTCAAGCCATCAGACAAAATGCTCAAAGAACAAACATGCATTTACATTTAGTTGTGGCTTTGCATGCACAAAAAAAGCAGAAAACATTGGACTTTCATGGCGTGGAGGAAAAGTTGCTGGGAATTTTTGATGCGCCGTCACACAAAGCTCGCGCGCGGCATTTTTGCCCTTCGCACACACACACACACACACGCAAGAGTTGAGGAATCTTGTGAGGAATTGTTGACTCTGGAGGCCAGGAAAAAGTTTCCAAATAGCAATTTGGAAGCTGAAAATTTCCCAATTTACCAATCCATTTGCAAGAAAATTCATACATCACCACTAATGGAGATTTAAAGCTTATTCCTCCTCATGTTTTGGGCGGAAAGGAAAGCTCTGAGCGGAGCTTTTTCCTCCTCCATCTCTCTCTCTCTCTCCCTCTCTCTTGTCTATTACATTATGATTATGTTTCCCAAACGCTGAGACGCTCTGCGATGAGAGTAAAGTGAAAAAGGCTCAGACAGAGAAAAGGGGAGGAAAAATTTGCCACATCTATAATTTCAGATATGCGGGGATTCCTTTTCTACCCACGACAGACACACACACACACACAGAGTGTACTTTATTATTTATTAAAGACGATATATTGCGCACACTTCCGCGGAATGTGTCGGGAATTCGGTGAAATTTACTGACAAGAAGTGGCAGAAGAGGCAGCAAGAGAAAAGCCAATAACATACACTGTGTCAGGTGCAAAGCGTCAAATGATAATTTGATAAGCGATTTGAGGATTCACCCTCCTTGTGCCTGATGGGCGCTTTAGGGCTCGATGGCTGATGAATTGTCAGTGTGAAAAGCCATCGGGAGGATTTGAGGAGTTCTTATGGCTAATTTCCGGCTGCGGTCGCGCTATCTGGGTCAGGAAATTGATCGCATTTGCGAAGATGGACCTGCAAGACAGACACTCACTTGACACGCTTGCTTGAATTGAAAAATTCACCCTCTTCAGCGCCACATAAATTACCCTCACTTGAAGGGGAAGCAGAATTGAAGGCAAAGGAGGAGATATGTTGCCTAAAATCTCCCTCATTTGCCTCTAAAATCCAGAACTTTATCTTCTAAAGCAATTTATAAATGAAATAGGGGAGAGAGGGGCAAATTGGTACATCTTGTTTCTAGGCTCAACATTCACAAGCCATTTGGCAATAAAATCCTTTCGACTATTGCGGAAAATTTTCAGGGTTTTAATGGGAGGCGCGAAAGCATCTTTAACTAAGAGTGGGGCAGCTTTGAACAGCGCCTTTTTCGAACTGAAAATTGAACTCAGGTTCTGTATTTTCAATTGAATTGCGTGTATTGTACTTATAAAGTTTGATAGCTTTATGTTTTTCATATTATTTTGTGGCGTTCTTGCAAAAAATTGAAGAAAATAAATTTTCTGTCAAATGTGCCTTTGCTAATGTGTCTCTGCTAAGTTGTAAATCACAGTGAAAGTCCTTTATTAAGTTTACATACCATTAAATAATCTCTTGGTCATGAAATATTGTTAGTTTTTAAATGTTTTCTTTGTTATTTCTTGAGGATTTCACTGTAAAAGTAACTAAAAAATTGCAGTTCAAAATTGCCCCAAAGTTGGGCAGCTTTGTACAGAATGCTGATGAAACGATAAGCCCATTGTGTGGAAAATCCTTACGTTTGAAGTTCATAATCAAGACAACTCAGAAGATCGAATAGAATTTCCCTCCAACGTTTCATCAGTTAAATCACCAAACTACCCCTCTCTCCCCTATCTTATATTTCCACTCAATATTTCTGCAATATCGCTACTATCTCCCCCTTGAATTGAGAGTGGTGCTGAAAAATTGCACAAAATATTCCTTTAATTAGCTCTTTGTGCGATAAATCATAGCATACAATTTTGGGTTACGCGCTGAATTATATGGGTAAATAGGCAGTAAAATCGGTGGAAAATATATTATTTTCGACAAATAATTATTCATGGCAGAAAAATTAGAGTGTGCTCTTCATTTTCAATCAAATCATTCATTAATTCACCATAAAAGAGCTTTAATTTCATGCTCATTCACCAGATTTCACTGTTAATTAGCCGCAAATATCATTGAATGGTTTGATCAATGCATTTAAAGAATCTCCCCCATCGTTATTTATCCGCAGGCAAATTGCGCCTGATTGTGATAATTGGTGGTTGATAAACAAAAATGTACATGAAAGCTGCCGCGGGGAGAAATATATATATATTTTCACAGTGTACAAACATCCACACGAGATGCACGAATAATTCGAGAAATCATCTCATCTCTCTTCAATCTATTAAAAGACTCCCGACAGGCGCGTATTTAGAGCTGTTCAACATCAGAAGTGAAATCAATGAACAACAATTCTTCTGATTTCGCTTCTGCAGAGTTTTCGCACACCAGTGAAAATGCAGGAAAACGGCTCGCGTGAAGAATCCACTGCAGTGTGAATTGATAATTGTGCGCCTTCGCTTGTGAATTTTCACGTGTGCTCTTGAGTTGTTGAGGGAAAAATGCTGAGAAATCTCGTCGCTGACTTGCCCATCTTCTGCCGAACTGCCAACAACGTATTTCACACAAATCCATTTTGCCGTTGGCATTTCGCATGGTGAATCACTGAAATCCCCTTTTTCTTCTCCACTGCCTTTCAGACCACCGTGAAAAGTTCGAGACATTATGCAACAGAAGCAACATTCAACCTTAAAGTGAGTTTTCGCTGGCTGAATCGCGCGAGATCATCTGATCTTGACACTCAACTCGAATTTACGGTGTTCTGAACACACTCGCACACGTCAAACGTGATCCGAATACGACAAGAGTTCTCTGGAAGATGGAATGATTCCATGAGACGCGGTCAATTTCCAATTTCTCCATGACAATTTGTCCTGAGATGACGAGAAAAATTCACCGAAAGGGGATTTCTCAAGGGGGAGATAGTACGATGTGCAAATAAGTGAAGAAGTTGGAAGTGAAAGTGTTCAAATATTCAAAATTATTCTATGATTTCCCCGGAGAAACTGTAAAACAACTCAATCTAAATACCTTCTTTTAGGTTATGTTACTGATTTAAGAGATCTTTAGAGGCTAAATAACATCTAAATTTAATTTTTGTCTCTCATTCTGAAGTAATTTGCACTTTCAGCACTTTATAATATTTTATTCCTGCATAAATGCGATTCCAAGGGGGAGATATTAAGGCCAGAAGTGGAAGTGTTTAAAAACTTACAATATTGCTTCCTTTAGTGCTTCTCTTTGTGATAAATTATCCAGATTTTTTGGATTCAATTCGATTTTTTACATAAAAACTATCCTAAAATTCACTTTCTAGGTTATGTAGCAAAAATTAAGAACAGATTTAATGAATAATTCGAATTCTAGCACATCAATTGACAGAATTCTGCATTCGTATGCAATAAACATTACTTTTCTGGACATTTGATGTCAAGAAACACTGAAGATTGCAATAATTTTTAACATAACCTCAAAAATATTGATTTGCATCTAGAAAATGTTTCTTTACACAACTTTCTCCACAATTTTGACAGTGAATTAGCAATTTGGAGTTCATTGATTAATTATAAGAGATGATTTTGTGCTCTAAAAAGCTTCCAAATGGAATTTTTGAAGATCATTAAGTGATATTTTTGAGGTTATGGTCGGAAGAGATGTCTGAAAAAGCAGTTCTAAGTGGATTCTTACAGAAATCTGGGATAAAAACTTAAAACATTGTAGAAATAGTCTAGAAATTTCAAGTTCTTGACTCGAACATAACCTCACAAATATTATTTAAGCATCCAAGAAGTTCAAGATATGATTTATTCTGGTAAAAAAGATCTTTTTCTGGCTTCTTCTTTCCTACATAATCTCACAATTGATTAAGAACTCTTCACTGATTAGCTTAAAATTTGTGAATTAATCAATAATGAAAAAAGTTCAATTATTTCCCCCTTTTGGGATTTTCAGGCACAGCGCGATTGTGTTTTGCAGCCAAATCGATATACAAAAATACTATAGCGCATTACTTGCTATAAAATATTTGTGTGTGATCAAATATTCGCATAAATAGCAGTGATAAATTTTTGCTGCATCGTAAAGGGAAAATAACATCCCATTAACGCTGTTCGGCAGACACAATGTCACTAAATCCGTGAAAATGCGCTAAACATTTCCCCGTTAAATTTAATATGATGGGAAGTATTTCAGGCTTCCTGGGCTGAAAATACACAGAGATTTTTTTTTCGCCTAAATCATTCAGTCGCGCTGTTTGAACACTGAATGATGCGATGCTTTATTGTCAAGCAAATATTTGGGTTGTTTTGGAGGCAAAAACCGCGCGCTGTATGAGAAATTTCTCCCACACTCGGAATCGCTGCTGAATATTGAATTCAACATATAATGTTGTGTGTGTGTTTTTGCAGCCGTTTCGCCTGCACAAGTTCGAGAGTGGCCCCAAGGAAAAGGTCACGCTGAATCGCGAGGATGCTGTGAAAATGTACAAGGAAATGCAAACGATACGACGCATCGAGACGGCGGCCGGGAATCTGTACAAGGAGAAAATTGTCCGCGGCTTCTGCCATTTGTACTCAGGACAGGAAGCTTGTGCTGTGGGTGAGTTTGGAAGAGACACAGAGAAGAATGGCGGCAACACATTCGCGCGCATATTGAAAATTTATGTCTCATCGTCTTGCATTCTGCATAATGTAGTCCACTTAAAATTCCGCCATCTCTCTCGGTATGCACATGATGAATTTTTCTCACGACGAAACTCCCCAAATAGAATTGAATTTGAAATTTTCATGAAGGCCCACGAGGGATGAAAAATCCTCCGCTGCACGTGGAGGCGCCTGGTGGCGCATGTATGCGACCAGGCGCCTCCACTTGACTACGTGATGAAGATTTCCCTGATTTTTCCCCACTGCCAAGAGGAATTTCCTATGATTTATATTAGGTCATCAGCAGTGACATTTCCCTAAAATTCCCTTGTAATTGTGTGAAACAGAGAAAAATGTTGCATTTTCTGCACAGTTTTTGCTCTTTTCGTCACTTTCACGGTCATTTCCCCATGCAAATTTGCCATTAACACCACATTTTTGCACGATTTTTTGCCTTTTGCAGGAGAAAAGTGGGAAACATAACCTCAAAATTGTTCGAAGACAGTTTCTTTTCACTTTTTCACATGCAAAACACAGAAAAACTCTATTTTTCATTAAGGAATTCTATTTTTTCAATGGCTGAATGTCATTGTAGGGATGAGGAAGGCCATGAGGCCCGTGGACAGCATCATCTCGGCGTACAGAGTGCACGGCTGGACGTATTTGATGGGCGTCCCCATCACGGGCGTGCTGTGCGAGCTGACGGGGCGCCGGACGGGCTGCGCCCGCGGCAAGGGTGGCTCCATGCACATGTACGCGCCCAACTTCTACGGCGGCAATGGGATTGTGGGGGCGCAGATCCCGCTGGGAGCCGGCGTGGCGCTGGCCAACAAGTACCGCGGCGACGGCGGCGTTTGCCTGGCGCTTTACGGCGACGGAGCGTCGAATCAGGGCCAAGTCTTCGAGGCGTACAACATGAGCTTCCTCTGGAACGTGCCGTGCATCTTCGTGTGCGAGAACAATGGCTACGGCATGGGCACGAGCGCCTCCAGATCCTCCTCCAACACGGCGTACTACACGAGAGGCGACGCTCTGCCCGGAATCTGGGTGGACGGCATGGATGTGCTGGCCGTGCGAGAAGCCACTCAGTTCGCCATCGACTACGCCACCAAGACTGGGCCTCTGGTCATGGAGGTCTTCACTTATCGCTACTCAGGACACTCCATGTCCGATCCAGGCACCAGCTATCGCACGCGCGACGAGATCCAGGAAGTGCGCAACACCAGAGATCCCATCATGCTGTTCAGGGACAAAATCACAGACGCCGGACTCGTGTCAGTCGAAGAGATTAAGGTATTGAGAGCGAGATTGAGAGTGTCAAGGGGGAGATAGTGTGGCCAGAATCAATAATTACTCAGTTTTGCGGTTCGAAAAGGAAATTTTTGCACTGGAAATTAAATTTTCACAACTTATTCACAGAATTACAATTTAAAGATAAAGAAAAAGATGATTTTAGAGGCTAAATCGGGGAAAAATAGTCCTGAAGTGAAACATAACCTCAATTTTATTCATTTAAAGACTGATTTTAAGCTAGAATGATTCTAATCGAGGTTCTTTAAGGCCACTCAATTAAAAGTCATCAGATAGATTTTAGTTAGATTTCAGTTAGATTTCAGTCAGATTTTAGTTAAATTCCAGTTAATTTCTCATTTGAGGGTAAAAAACCCAAAATTAACCGCTTATTTGGCAAAATATCGCTGAGTTTGACCTCAGTCATCGTTAAACACAAACTAAAAAGTATCCCGGAAGATAATGTACAAGCATTAGCCATACTATCTCCCCCTTGCTGTCTGTGTGTGTGCAAATTGTGCCTCGTCAGTGAAAACGTCTCAATGTCTCGTGCAGAAATTCGACACTGAAATCAAGAAGGAAGTTGACGCCGCCACAGCGCTGGCCAAGTCAGACGCAGAGATCGAACTCAAGGAGCTCACCACAGATGTCTACTCGGCCAACATCGAGCCCCGCATTCGGGGCGCCCACGTGAATCAGCAGCTCCCGCACTCGTCCCTCAAGAGGGCTGTCAACTTGTAGAGACTCTCCCCTCTTCGCAGCATGCTAATTAAATTCCCTTGTTAACATTTACAAAGACACGCTTCTATGTACAGGGTGAAAGCTCGAGGGTTGCGCCCAAAATAGACAAATGGCTAGAAGTTGTTGGGGTTTGATTTGCAGTCGGGCGAGTGCCGTGGCACCACGGGCAGGATGAGGGATTGACTCCTGGTGAGACTCGGCCGGCGATTGTTGCTGTTTGACTCCGGCAGAAGGACGTGGCGACGCCTCGAGGCGGTGCTGCGACTGCTGCAGTTTCTCATGACCTGCAATCGGGGGAGGAAATCCAAGACATTCAGTGACAATTGAGGGCTGACAATCGGGAGCTCCTCACCTGCTTCCCCTGCCGTGTCATGTCGAATTGATCCGCATCTGAAGGCGTGAGCGAAGGTCGAGGAGCTTGGGAGATTCGGGCATTTGGCTGTCCGCTGGCGCCCAAATAGCTGCTCTTCCGGCGGATGCTCTGCTCCACTGTTCCGCGCGTGGCGTATCGCGAAAACCGCGATGACACAGTGCCCTGAAAGCCAATCCGTCAGTGATATCCTGTTCCCAGAACATCCTGGAATCACACTCACTTGTCTCTTAGGCCGTCGACTGAGCAAATGCGCCACTGTTGCGCGATACTTGGCCGAGAAGGCGCAGTAGAGCAGGAAATTGCAGGCAGCATTCATGGTGACCAGGAAGTTCAGGATGTTGCCCATGGCTAAGGAAAACCAATCATTATTTCACCAGATATTGACACAAGGGAGGTGCAATCTCACCCCGATTGAGGTTCAGCGAGCGCGGGTCGCTCGTCTCAGGCGCCCAGGAAGTGTAGATGAGGAAGATCGCCGTGGGCGTCTGGCAGATGAGGAACAGCAGCACCACCGCAATGAGCGTCACTGTAACTTTGTTCTCCTGGCTGGTGGAAGTGTCGCCCTGTGGGGATAAAAACGTCGCCTCAGGAAATCTCTGCTCGGCATCTCAAGGGGGAGATAATCACTTAATTTATAGCGTTCAATTTAGCTTTATAGTGTCAAGAAGAAGCTTAAATTCCTCAAATACCTGGATTTTACTATTTAAACATTTAAGCGACTCGAAAAGAACTATTTTCAATCAAATGTGAGGTTATGAACTCGCTTTTTTTAACCGAAATGTGCAAAATATCCTCACAAATAACATTTAAGTGTACAGAAGTACAATTCAAATGATTTTCCATTACAAAATTACCCCAAGAAATTCAAAGAAGAGTCACAAAATACATTATCTCCCCCTTGTGGCGCCCCAGCAGGACTCACCTGGCGGGCGTTCGTCATCTGGTGGCGGTTCTTGTGGGATCGATGCACGGCGGCAATGAGGAAGCAGTTGAACGTGGCCAAGAGGATGAGCGGCAAGAAGGTGAAGAGCACAGATGTCATGATGTAGAAAATGGTCCTGTACGTGCTATTCTTTCCTAGTTCCGATGGAATGGCTTTGAAATAGATTTCCTGTGCACGAGAGGACAGAGAGAGAGTGAGAGAGAGAGAGTCGCTGACGAGGGCCATTGAGTGCACTCACCACAACACAGATATCGTCTTTTGAAGTACTGTTGGTAATTTCCTCCGTCTTATTCCCATTCAGCTCATAATCTCCATCCATCTCGGCGTCCACGTCGGACGTCACTTCCAGCGTCGATAGCCACGCCACTGTGCTGGCCTCCACGTCCTCCTGCGTCGCCGGTGACGTGGCGTTGGCCTCCGGGGGGAGGCAGAGCTCTCTCGAGACGCCGCTCACGTGGCGCTCCGTCGTGTCCAGCTGGTACTCGAAGGACGTCGTGCCGGTGAGCAGGAAGCACAGCACGACCACGACTTTTGGGCGTGCCGGGAATTTAATTGGTACTTTTCAGAGAATTTAGGGCTTCTGGGGTAGCTTTAAAACTCACAGGGTGAACTTTATAGTTCACTGGATTTTGGGATTAACTGCTGTTTGACTTTACTGTGATAACGATGGCCAATGCAAGAAGTCAGTATTGGCAAGCGTCCTAAAAGTACAACTTTGCCTTCCTTTGGAAGGTTGTTGTGCAAGTAATAGAGCACTGTATAACACAAAATGTAGTTACTTTTGGCTGCTCTAGTTTTGGTCAGAGTTTCATTCCAGCAAATGTCAATAAAATAGTTCGATAAAGCAATAAAGAAAGAATAATTTGCGTTTACTGAGCATTATATAGAAATTAAGCTGAGTGTTCACTTTAAGCTCCGCCCTCTCTTATGCTCCGCCCATTGCCTTAGGTTTCACCCTCAAATTAGCTTCAAAATCTCCCGAGAATTCATTTGAATATCCAATAATAATTATTAATTATTACTTGTTACTTCTCCAGACGAAATTACACTCGCATGAGCAACAGCAGTGCTTCTGATTTGAGGTTTAATTGCATCTTAAACTACAATTACACCAGTAACTTAATATGGCCAATTGGGGTGGAGAATCGAGTTTGCAGGAGCTTCTCAGCACTTCACTCAATCATGTGCATGAATGTAAATCTTGTCCAATTAGTGCTATAGTGAAATTCAACCTATAAACCCTCTGGCAGAGCATTAGTCCGCTTCTTATTGCTCGTGAGCAGTGCATTGAATAATAGTGCTTATAAATTGCACGGCCGCAATTGTTAGGGGTGATTCTCTTGATATCGAGTGGGGAAAGCGACTCAACTTCCCACCCCATCATAATTCGCAATGAACTGTTTACGGAGATGTACATGGATTTCGAAATAAAGTGGCGAGCATGAGATTTGAGTGTTTAGCCATTCCATTTGGGATGTAATGGCTGGCGTGGGAGTTAAATTAATTAGGCAAGATCAGCGCAATTGGAATCTCTGCACAAACAACGAGCAATTAGTGATGACAGCCACTCGTCTGGGGGCGCTTTCGGCGATTTGTGTCAAATAATGTGAATTTACCGGCGATGACCCGCTTGGCCCGTGACTCTGTGCAGAGAATCTGACCCCGAATCGGATGACAAACGGCAATGTAGCGCTCGATGGTGAAGCTGACCGTCAAGTAAATGGACGAATATGCTGCAAGAGAGTGGGCGGTTTGTATTATTTTCCATCCACACAGTGCAAAACTTTCGCAATATTCGAGGCAAACTCACATGAGGCGTCGCAGAACCAGTGGGACAGGCCGTACGTTCGCCAGTATAGCTCATACTTGGCGCGGTTGATGTTGGGATAGTGCTGCAGCGACAGGATGAAGTTGAACAGGAGGAATACCATATCGGCCACAGCCAGTGCAGTTAAGTAAACATTTGTCGAGCATCTCATGCGTCTCCTGCAGCGCAAGGGCTTTTTTATTGTCTCCAATTATAAACAATGTACAGTCAAACAGTCTGTCTGTGATGTCTTTGGGGTGTTCTCTGCGGTGGGAAAGTCTTTCGGGGGCGAAACTTTCCCTCAGAAATGAAGCAAGGAGGAGATATTTAAACTACAAAAATCTCATAATTGTTCTTCTGCTGCTAGAAATTGAGTTTTTCATCATTATGTCAGTTTTCTTGACATTATTGTTCAAGAAATTACCGGTTTATGTCGTTTTTTTCTATAAATTTGACTAAAATCACTATTTTTCAATCATAACCTCAAAAAGTATTAACAAATCTTTGATTTTCATTGAAAACACACTAAAGAGCAAAATTTGGCAGTATTAAAGTGTCTGAAAATGTACTTAAAATGCGAATAATTCTTCTTCAAAACCACATTTTTGAGGTTATAAATTGAGAAACAGTAAATTTTGATGCTTGATTCTATACAATATATCCAAAAAGACACAGAATCTGTCTTTTTATTATTCTCCGAACGCAGAAAAGACAGAGAAATTCAAAATCCCTGATAATTCTACTTTTCACCATAATATCTCCCCCTTGGGCATGAATGCTTCGGGGTTTCTTCTGGCAAAACTCTTCTGTGGATGTTTCTATTTGGAAACTTCAACTATCCAGCTAATAACTTGTGTATTTTGTGGCATAAATACGATATTGTGAGATATTTGCAATTTGGATTGAATAGAAAATTTGACACCCGAAGCAATTGGCAAAGGGTGGATTTCGGAGGTGTTTCTTCGGAGATGCAAAAGCGAATGAGTTGAGGACATATTGAGCATACCTCGTGAGGACAATGACGGTGACAAAGTTGCCGAGAACACCAATGATAACGACACATGGCACGAGGATTCGCTGAAAGCAATATCTCAGCGACTTGAGGGTGTCATCTTCCATGGTCGATGGCTGATTGGCTGCAAGGGAAGAGATGAATGTAGAGCAGCGATGGGCAGAGCAATTCCACCACAATCTATCTGCAACTTTAGGGCACAGCAGAGCCCTTCTGTCCCCTAAATCGAGGGGGAGGGGGGATTCAGAGCCTCGCTATCAATTGCTCGTAAACATCTCGAAAAGTTTCTGTATCACAGAAGCTCCCGAGCACCACATGCAACCCTCCAGCCTCTACCACCCCCTCCGGAAAAGCCCACTCTCTCTCTCTCGCTGGTTTTTTCCCCGACAAGAGGTTTTCACCTCAGTGCCACATGTCGAAAATCCTGGTACTACATTTTTAATAGCCGCTCCACACGACGCCCCACTTGTTCGGTGCTCAACCATTGTCCGGATATGTCGGGTGGGTTTTCAGCACTTTTTTGCGCACCCCTCTTATGTGCTTTATTATTGTTTTCCACCTCCATCGCACACTTGAGCGCAAAACTCCCGCTTTTATGCTCTTATGCCCATCCTTTCGCATTCAACATATGGCGCTGACGTGTACAATACTTGTGAATGTCCCCGTGACTGTTTCAGCCTCGCTCCTGCGATGTATTTAAAGTCCACCACTGTGGTTGATACCGCAGACTGAATGGGGGGATGGCATCGCGCAAGGGAGGCTTACAGCATTTTGAGGCGCTTTTCAGTCCACCCGGCAATAGAGAGACCGCCAACTTTCCACCCCTTCTAAGCTGGGTTGTAATGCGAAATCCATTGGAGTGATCCGCGCTGGAGGATTTTACAGAGATTTTATTGCCAGAAAAACGCAGCGAAATATAATAAAAGAAGTTTCTCTCAATTTAAATGTGGATCTATTGAAAACTTCCCCGAAATATGCAATATCTTCCCTAATAACTGACAAAAATGAGTGAAAGAAGCAAGTCACAAGGCGATTTCTGAGGAAACTTTATGCTCTCAATCAAATAATTAAATAAAATAATCAAAATTTGATTATTTTTCAGGTAAACTTGGAAAATAATCAAATATATTCAAATAAATAAGATTTGAAATTATATTTAAATATTTTCTGAATATTCAAATAAAATTTTATTACCAAATCGAGGCATCTTACGCTCCGAATATAATTTAATCAATTAAATTTTATATAATTATATTCAAATTTTAATTAAATATTCAGAAAATAGTAAAAAAAAAACCCATTCCTAATAAAAATCACGAATAATCAAGAGAATTATTGAATAATTCTCTGAACTGACTTTGTCTCATTGTCCGATAGACTTAAGAGCCTCCAAAACTCTGTGTAAGCTGATAAAATTCCTGCGAAAACGTGGTAAATTTGTGCAATGGGCGGAGCGTTCGAGTGGGCGTGGCAGATTTTCATTCACGAAATCTCTGAATTTCATGCGCTCAAGAATGACTCGATGATGTCAGCTGAAAGTCATTACATAAAATACACTGCGACTATTATGAATGTGTCCTAAAATTAGTCTTTCTAATAAAGTGTGATTATAAAACTGGTGATAATTCATTGGCTCAAGATGTGCGAAATTGCCAAGAAATCTGTAAACACTGCACTTGCGGAATTGCCATGATTGATTTGCAGCATTCAATGTCAAGAGCGCAATCTTGAGCGCAATACAATGTTCAGGAATGGGTGAAGTTGTGAATATAATGAGTGAGTAATTTTCCTCTAATTGCCGCTCTAAATTACAAATCTAACCGCACATTTCGCTAGCAAATGGCCCAACTTTCAATTGGCTCAAAAGTGCTGATGGATGGAATCTGGTTGGCAGAAAAGTATTACTGCAGAATTTTATAACTCAATCAATAAAAATGTAGAATGTTTTTGAGAAAATTGTTTGGATTATATTCTATTTTGCGCTCAACGCTCATATTTATCACGATCACCAGAGGAAAATGACCAATAAATACGGAGGGTGGGAAAGGCGATTTGGTTTTAAAGACGCACGCAATTTGGGTGATTTTAGTGGCCATTGAGACTGGATATTTAGAGACTTTTCCACGAATTTCCACTGAGTCAAGTGTCTCGATTGGATAGTTGGCATTTTATTATGCTCTCGGCGAACATTGCGTCACGTTGGCGGGGGTGGAAAGACGTGCGGAAAAGCTCTCGCGGAAATATGCATTCAACAGCTGGTGTCCATCGTAAGTTCACTTCACACACTCACAGTGAATTTTCTATAATTTTATTCCTGGGTGGAAAATAAACCTCAATTGCTGGCATTGGCGCAATTTGAATCTGTGCGGTCGTCCAGCTGGTGAATTTGATACATTTTCATGGCTGAAAGACTTATTAATGCTATCTAGAGGCTTACATAAACACCCGCGAAGCAAGGCTGATTATCGTTGATGCCGCCTGTGAATTTTTTTTTTTCTTTTCAAACTTGGCTGCGCGTGTTATTTCTGTTCCATTGCGATAAAATTACTATAAACACATTTCTCGCCTCCTCCTGAACCATTAAATCCTATACTAATAGAGAAAGCCAACACTTTTCCGCCTTTCTGGCCAATGAGGAAGACCTTTTCAGAGTGTTGAAGCTCAAGGTTTCACTTCCGCTCATTTAACATTCAACACGCACGACACTTGCAATCACGCGCACTCTTGCAATTCACACGCGCGTGATTGATCACCTGTCACGCCGTCCAATTGCAACTTCCGCGGATCTCTGGATCGCCAGAGAGAGAGTGAGAGAGAGAGAGATTCGAGACGGAATCTCTGATGTTTGATCACGGAGGACGAACAGTGACTGCCATCGAGTTGAGCCCGAAATAAACCTGCGCGCCGCTGAGCCGCGAATTATGGGTCGGCGATGAAAAATGGTGGAAAAGCCACACTGTTCGGGGCGAAAGCTGAGCAAAAGTGTGAGCCACTCGTGAGTCGTGATCGCGTCTGACTTCTGGACGCTAATTTCCGCGCGCGCGAACCAGCAAATCTTATAATTATAATGTGCTGGCCGTGCGCCAAACGCCGCGCCGTGTTAGTCAATAAAGAGGAGGTTTGTCCGTCTTGCGGATCATAATATTTTAAATATATACTCCAATGGGCCGATCACTGATCAATACTCAGTCGATCGATCCTTAAGTCACTTTGATTAATTGATCTGCGTCTCGGCGCAAAAGCGCCTGCAATTGCAGAGCCACAAATCCGATTTTCGTGCGCACTTTTCAAGCTTGATGGAATGCGCTTGAGTAATGAAGTGAATTAATTGTTTGGCAAGCGAATTTTCACCACCAATAATTCAATCACTTTTCGCAATAACTTCATTATCACTTAATTATTAGACTTAATTTCGGCGAGAGAAATTTGTCTTGAAATCGTTCTTTCATAACTGCAATAAATCGCAGAAGAACTTGTTGCGAACAAGGGGGAGATAATATGGCTAGTAGTGGTGTACAGATCCGTAGAAGTTTATGGAAGTGAAAGTGCTTCAATTTATGCAATATTTGGTCCAAAAGCTTTGATTTTCTGCTGATTATTTTACTCTCAGGAATAAATTTTTATCCAAATCGTAATTTTGACGTATTTTTCTAGGTTATGTGACTAATTTAAGACTCAACAACATTTAAAAGTGGAAATTCTTGCGCCTAAACTCGTGATTTTGGAAGCTACATTTTTTTATATACGATTTTTGAACTAATTCTAATCCAGTTCGTCATTTTGACATATTTTTCTAGGTTATGTTAATAAGTAAAAGTGAAAAATTAGTTTAAAATAGAAAATATTTCACTGAAAACGGAATATTTTTCATTTAATAATACAAAATTGTGTATTTTTACTCAATAAAGATTGCCGAAAAAGTTCAAATCAAACATAACCTCAAATTTTCACTTCACAACACCAAATTTTGAGCTAGAAATTAAGAATGCAATATCGAAAAGTGCAAATAAAGGCAGAAAATCATCAATAATAGTCTGAAAATCAGAGTAATTAAGTTGCTGGTTAGATTGCAGTTAGATTTCAGTCGTAAAAGTGTCAGAAAGTGGTGTACAGATTTAAGCTACATTATCTTCTCCTTGATTGCGAATTTGTTCAATTTTATAGATAACGATGACGAGATTTTTCTCTGTGATCTTCAATCTATAGATTGATTTCCATCTGTTTGTGCTTTGAAGCATTCTCTCATCTCCTTGTGGATATTTTTGTGCGGCAATATTTTGATTTTTTTTCCTCAAGCCAGAGAAATTTCATTGACTTCACTGGCAGTTCTGCTTAAGAAACTCACACTGGTGAGATTTTCATCGTTGTGAAATTGACACTCTGTCAATGATTATTATTTGCCCTGTGAAGTCACACAAAACTCACGAGACTTTCTCAGAAAATTGATGAAGAAGAAACTCTCGTGATTTTCACACACATGCTATTAATCAAATTTCATTGAATGCATCCTTGACGCGTTGATTGCTCGAAATGTATCGAATTCTGTTGAATTTCCTCGGGGAAAAATCCATGTTAAGTCACACATGAAGTGAGAAAATGTTCACATTGTGCATGTAAAAGTCAAATCCGTTTGATGTGCATCTCCAGACATCTTGGAAGAAAAGGACGCCAAAGAAGTGTTACAATGAAAAATTGAATACCAACGCGGACTTCAAATGAGTTTTGTGCTGTCGGAAAAGTTCTTTCGCACTTCTTCTTTTTTTTCTGCTGAAGTGACTCAAGAGGACTTTTATTGAAAGTTTTATTTGATTTCTATCTCGTGAACAATTCACAGCACAGTTTTCAACGATGGAAGTCCTCAAAGGCGAGCAGCGAAGAAAAATGCGGGGAAAAAGAGAGATGCAGAAGGAAGTATAAAAAGTCAGTTTAATGATTGAGTTTTGCAAAAGTTTTCCCTGTAATTATACACATAATAATTGTGGTGCGCGATTTCATTATTCAATTTCTCTCTCGCACACAAAAGAATCGACATAGAAATGTTGAAGATTTGCGAGGCAAAGATGGCAGAAAAGAACTTTTCTATAGCAATTATTTTAATGTAACTAACTGTTCTCATTTTGCAATTTGCGACTAATTGCAATTACTGGGAAATCTCAATGTATTTTCTCAAGTCCAAGACAGACATCACAATAGGAAAACCACATTAAGGGACACTTTCTCTGGGCATTTTCCCTGGGAATTCCTTCGTGTGTCTTAATTGGGCGTAAGCTGATTAAGTGACAAACTCTAAATAATGAGATTCCTTTGAGCACCAGCCCGAAGATTCCGCCTCGCATCTTCTCGGCACGACCACAGAGAGGAACTTCCTGTAAAGTAGGACAAAGAACACATGAAGCATTTCCTGAATTTTCATTATCCTCCAGTGAGTGAAAAGCTTCGCTAAAGACACGAGTAAATACAAATGTGTTTTTTTCCTTCCTTTTCTCCTCCTGTAAAAATCCCTGACAAAAATGTCATAATTTCAATTTCACCATCGTGTCCAGTGAGAGAGCTTTTCATCTTGCCAAAGCCTCTTCCGCAATCCTGTGAATGGAAATGCGCTGAAAAGCTCCTGGACGAGTGTAAAAGTGAATAAAAGCACCTTCCATTGGATGCTCGAGTTGCAAAATATTTTTCATCTTCGATGTGTGACACATTTTCCACAGCATCCCTTCGTGCTATTTCGCATTCTACACCGTGACGAAATACCCTTGAAAGGGAAGCTCCTGGCATTTGCCAAGCACAATATCTCCAAGGCGAAAAGCATATGAGAGATATTTTCCCATGCATAAAACATGCGATTGAAAATCATGCAAGGAAAAATCCAATGCCTTTTCACATCCTTCAAGTTTGAACGGAAGGAGCAGAGAAATTACATCTCAAGATTCAAATTCCTGTCCATCGAGAGCTCTCGTGCGTGTGTGTCGAAAAGCTGCCTCACAACCATGATTTGCTATGCCACAAAGTTTGTTGTCTTACCTCAGGTATTATCTTGCAATTATTGCGCATAACAGAGAGCTTAATTTCGCTTAGTAATCAAACAAATTTCTCAGGTTATTCAATTATTGTACAATTACCTCAAGTGCATTAATAATATCGAACCCAAATCTCCTTAGGAAATGATAATAATGGGAATTCAAGGCATTTCTGGTTTATCTTAAGCAAGGAGTGTGAAGTGAATTATTGAGAAAAAATCACTCTTATTTCCTCTTGATGTTTTCATTGAGATATTCTTCAGATTGTGAGATTGAGGAGGATTTTTCTCAAGCAGTTGATTGAAGAGAAGAGGATAAAAACACAACAAATCATCCCTGAAAAGAATATGGAAAGCTCGTGATAAGCTTTCTATATCAACTTGAGATGTGATTGTGAAGAAAGTCAACAATGTTTAGTGCCAAGGGGCAGATATTATGGTTGGAAGTGGTGTACAATTTCATGAAAGTGTTTAGGAATTTAAAGTGGCAAAATATTTAGAATATTTGCATTGCAAAAGCTTCTGTTATAACACATTGAGGTATTTTCTAATTTATTTTGCGTGGAAAAATTAATTTTATTGCTTTTTTTAGGTTATGTGATTGATTTAAAACAGATTCTAGTAATTAAATAACCCTCGAAATAATTAAATTTGTGTTTAATCTAGGAATAATTTTGATTTTTCTTGGCAGAATTGAGTGTTTGTGTTCAAAATACCTTTAAATTGGGTGAGAAAAAGCTTAAAAGTCAAACATAACCTCAAAAATGTCCTTTTACCCTAGAATAATGTCACTTTTATTAGTTTTTTCTGCGGTTTGTACTTTATTATCCAGTAGAAATAATTGTGATATTTCCTAAATTTAGTCATTTTCACATTTCAAAGGATTTAAATTACTCAAAAAGGTCTTAAAGCCGATTTTCATAACCTCACAATTCAGTCAGAATTTTTTTTAAGCATTTTCCTAAGATAAAATTAAGAAATCAAGACAGAAATTGTTTATGAACAAATTCCAAGACATTAAGATCATTTCTTACAATATGAAATCCAAATATCTAAAAAGCTTAAACTTCTTCAGGCGCAAAAACATTTAAGATATATTATCCTCCCCTTGCTAAAAGCTCAAAAATATAGAATTTGATTTATTGATCTATCAATTTGTGATATTTTGCTGATCAGTGATTTTACACATGTTTTATTTATCGTGGATTTTCCTACTAATTTCCCTCCAGTTCTTAACATTATCTGGGAATCCTTGAAGAGCTGCTCGGCTAAAAATTGCGCCTCTCAAGAGATTGAGGATTAGCTGGGTGAATCATGACGCCTCTGGCGTGGAATAATTACTGCCAATTTATGTACATCATTCATAAAACGACTTATGTGCTTGTGGGATGACTCTCAAGGCTCTGGCAGAGGAGAAGATCAGAGAGAAAAAAGCTCCAGCATTGAATAATTCGGCATATGAAGCTGCGGTCAGCCAAAATAGCTCATCTATTTTCATCATATGCCGCCTTTTATGGCCCAATTCATCGATTTATACATTCTCGAGTGCCTTTTTCACCATACTTGCGAAAGAGAGAGAGAGAGAGAAAGTTTTTCCAGGGCTTTTCCAGCAGCGATGCGCTATTTATTTTGATATTGTCCCAAATTTCCCGTGTATCCATTTCTGCAAATTTGGCTTTAAATGCGGAAAGCTTGTACGTTGTCGCAAATATTTCTTGCTTTTCCTCCGCGCGCCCATTAAATATGAGCCAAGCATTAGCGTTCGGGATTATTCTTCATGTCGACAATTTCTGGCCAAATCCACTCCGCGCGCAGGTCATTGATAAAACAAACAATAGAGAGAGAGAGCTCCTCCGGTCACCCCCAAAACACCCCCACCCACCCCCCAGACGCCCTGAGAACTTCGGGGTACTTGTGTATTTGTTTTATCGTTTCAACA